TGATAGTACATGACCTATCTATACGTTTTTACTATCTGAGCGTCTCGTACATGACACATAGATCTGATAATTATATGTTTCCATCTTCGTTTTTTAAAATGATGGAAGGAAATATTAGATAAGGTGTGATAAAAATGGAGCGGAAACTGCAGAGTTATTCCTCCAGCTGCTCTCATGACTGGTGCTGTTGTTGATTTTTGTCTATTGAATTGATTCCTTTCCATGCTCTCTGTGTCCCTTTTTTTTGGTCTCTTTTTTTCCTTCTTAGGTTTTCTTGTTTTTCTCTTTACTCCTCTTTTTCTTTTTCTTTATTAATTTTTTTGCAGGATTGCAAAATTCATCGGTGGGTGGTTGGCGGGTGCTATGGTGCGGTTTGCTTCTTCTTTCCTACCAAACATCTATCGTCCTTGTCTCTCCTCCTTCTTTTTTGTGTTTGTTACTCTCTTGTAACACCTCTAATCTGCGTCACTTATATGACCTTATTGTGTTGCAGGTGTTGTAAAACATTTACTAAAGCTAGAAACCCCCCCCCCCCCCCCCCTAAAATTCATCGACACTATTGTAAAAAAAATAAAAATTTCCGGAGTGTAATTCTAAAGATATATAATTATATATGTACTGGTGATGGTGTGTTCGTGGCTGTGGTTGTTGAGTTAATTTCTCATTTTACCGTATGCAGTTCATTGTTAATTCATCAAGAAATGTCACCACCCTACGTTTAAAAAAGCATTTAAGAGTTGCTAGCGCCGTAAAACCTCTTCTAAAACTAACAAAGCATTTAAGGTCATGTTCCTGTATATCACCAGCTCTAGGGGCAATGGGTAGAGTTTGGTGGTTGGCGGGTGCTCTGGTGTGGTTTGCTCCTTCTTTCCTATCAAACATCTTGTCGCCCATGTCTCTCCTCCTTCTCTTTTGCGTTTGTTACTCTCTTGTAACACGTCTAATCTCCGGCACTTATATATAATATGGCCTTATTGTATTGCAAGTGCCATAAAACTCTTACTCTTACTAAAACTAAAACTAATAGTTCGGTGAATACTGTTTGATAAAAACAAAACAGTAAGAACACTTTTGATTATTATGGCTGGTATACAATACAGGGATTTGACCGAAAATGAAAATCCCGTCAGTCAGTCAATGTGTAATGGACACATTGACTGACTGACCGATTTTTTTTGTTATTGTAATGTATGTCATAGTACACATTATGTTCACACTTTATGTGCAGTTGAATCGAAGAATCATCTCTCTGTATCATTTGTGATTTGTACCATATCAACTCGTTTGTTTCTTTAAATCTTTTGCTCGTTTTCAAGTCTTATACTTATTTATAGGTAAATCAGAATGTGTTTTGAAGATATTATGTGTAGAAGTGGATGATGGTGTTCGCACGATATATATATATATGCAAGCCAGTCGGGACGCAGTACCTCGCTCAGCCCGAAGCACTGCTGTATGACGCTCTCTGCCTTCTCAAATATACATGATGTATATAATATGACATGTAACATGGGCAGGTGGTGAGAATGATTCCCAGACTCGAGTTTGCGTCAAATCTGCACAACTTTCATGTTTTGCACATGGCATTATTTTATTTATTTCCTTATTCCCTTAAGTATATATATTATGTTATTATACCATATCTTGACTGTGTTTTGTGTGGGGAGGGGAAGGGGGGGGGGGGGGCGGAATAAATAAGTCATCATCCCCAAAGGACTACATGTTAATAGTCTCGCCCTTGATGCAGAAAGAATGAAAATCTTTTGTCTTTAGGCTAGATCTAGACCCTCCTATCCCGGTGAAAGGAAGAAAGTTCATCTTAGATCCTTTGTGGCTGTTTTCCCGCACTGATATTAGTTAATAATGATAATAACTTAACGCCGGCTGATCTTTAGATGTATTCTAATGACACAAACCAGACCTTGGTAAGTTGGGACTGCTGTTCATCCCACAAGCTATCGTGATGCGAGTTTTGTAATGCAATGCAAAGTTTTTCGGACGTATTTTAAGAATTTCAATGCAAGAACCATAGCCACTCTCTCTTGGCTGTGCCTCGGGACATATCGCCCCCCCCCCCACCCACTCCTAGTCCTACCCTCGCACACACAAAATCATGGGGTTATAGTTTGTTGGGTATCTCTGTTTTTTGCTGGGATACTGTATCATCTTCTGACAGGATTGGCCCTGTGCTTTGTGAATGAACATTTGGAATTTGACTGTGACAATTTCACGTTAATTTTAATTGAATATGGAGATCTGAAGACAATTTGTTTTCTTTTTGTGCCTACTGTGGCCTATTACTATTAAGATGACAATCTAAGATAAGTCATACTCATATATAGAGATTTTGGGTCACCGTCTCAACTGATGTTCGATCGAGTGTTGCTGAACTTTTCTGTAATGTTTCCCCACCTCAATCCAATATCTTGACAGGGACAGAGTGCTCTGCTTTTTGCTTACGAAATTGTCTAGACTGTCTAGTAAGCTATGAAACATTCCAAGTGAAGAGCAACCTTTTTTTGGTAGTTGCAATCCACAATCCTTGCTCGATACATGTAATCAACACAAAGACTTCGAACATCTTGCTCTGATTGAAAGAACAAAAAGCAAAAGAGGCAGAAGTAGATGGAGGATAACTTTGGACAGATGGATGACTGTGAAAGACCAGGATGATATAATATAGATTTTGTTTGGACATCGGGCAGAGAAATGATGGCAAACATTGATACATTGATTATCAATGTCTGTTTGAGATCTGGCATTTAAATTATGATGATGGAGATGTATTACCATGTATTGGACAGTGATTACCCAACATGCTCTGCCTTTGCTCATCCTTTTTCATGTTCCCATTTAAACAGACCGTTTACATTCTTCAAATTCTCAGGTTTTTATTCTGTATTATAATATACAGCATATTTATTTTCTCAAATGTGTACTGATAATAATGAATATTCATTACATATGTACGTGTATTGAAATGTTTTAGGATTCAGTGAAACTGGCTCTTATTTTTCCAAGGAAAAACGTGAAATCAAAAGATGTAGGATTTTGTTCTTTGTGTTTGAGTATGGCATGATATTTTAGTTCAGTGTTGTGAAATAATGATATTAAACTTACAGATCTAATTGTTTTTCCTCATGGTCGAGGAACATGAATGCAGTCATTCTGATACACCCAAGTTCCGTAAATTTGTAGATCAAATTTCAAACAGAATTTAAGAATCAGTTGGTAGGCTACCGAAAAAAGAAATATTTCGAATGACTAATCTGGGATGAATTAACTTAATATCAGGGTCACAGGACATTCACCTGCTGAGTCGCCTATCACTACAGGCTCTCTAAGAATTTCTTGTGTCAAGGTACAGAAAAATTTGAGTAACACAAAGCTGTTCAACATGAAATTCCTGTTACCACAAAATATTTCCAATACCTGTGGGTTTTTTTCCGGGCTTTATTTAAAGCATTGCAGCTTCCCTCAGCACTAAATTTGCTTAAAACAAAGAATTTTTCTCTATTCTCCAGAAGTTTGTGTCATCAAAGGAGGTTTACTGCACTTTTGGTATATAATTTCCATTTGACCTGGAAATAATTTACTAAATAATATCATGGTTCGAGAGAGAGCAGTGCTCGAAAAAGAAAAGAAGGAGTGGTTAATCTCTTTGGCGCTTTCTTCCTCTAAACACTGTCTGCTGACACAGCCACGTCCCTTCTGTGCTCAAAGCTGTGTATTGTGTGCTTGCTTTTGCTTTTACGTTCCATATCATATATATATATATATATATATCATATATATATATATATTGTTTTTAACCTGTTGAGAATTTTTAGACTTTGCGGCTTTGATGAAATAGAATCTTAAACATACACACATTGTGCAGTTTCAATTTGCGTTTAAAGAGAATTGTATGAGTTACAGTTCAGGTTCTTATGCAGTTGCGAGTGCCGTAAAACCTCTTCTAAAACAACTAAACAGTTTAGGTTCCTATTCTATTAGTGTTTTAGTAATATTTTACTCAATATAAGTGCAATGTTTTGTAGCTGTCCATGCAGATGGCCATACTTGTGTAGCTTCCAACTTCCAACTAATGGTCATGCATGATTATTTCAGCGCTCCTTCTTGCCACTTTTGAATCACATACTCTGTGATTTTATTTCTTTTTTGTTTCACAATCTCATGCTGGTTTTAATAGTTTTACATGTATTGGATTTTGTTGATTCCTTTATCTTCCAACTCTATAACATGGTTTCGATAGGCTTGAAGTGTCTTAATTTTTTATTTTTTTAAAATCTGATATTGTAGTTTTTATGTGTTTGTAAGTTTCTACATTGTTCCCAAAGAGTAGGTAAATGGCCATTCTCCGAAAAGAGGTGGACTAGTGCAATTTACTTACCTAGCTATCATAGTGTTTTGGTTTGTTCATATATGAAGAGAGTTTACTCTTTGCTCTAGCTGCGTGTTGTATTTCACAGGACATTGGGATTGCCACTAGCTTAATAATAATAATAATAACAATAATAAAAGATAGCATTTGTAAAGTGCAAATCCTAGCTCAACAGCAAGCTCTATGCGCTTAGTTGAACTTTAGTGCAGATTAGCCCGCCACCAGATCCAAAATGCTGCGATTTTTCTCTTGAAATGTTTATACAAAGTTAGTTTTTAAGGCCCTCCGCATACTTGGCGCAGTCATATAATAGATGGTTGTTAAAGGTGGAGGTCAGGCTCTTTTAAGAAATCGATTTTGTCAGTATATATAATACAGCCTCACACACAGTGATTTTCTTACATCTATCGTCTTTATCTCCCCTCCTTTTTTTTGTGTTTGTTACTGTCTTGTAACACCTCTAATCTTCGGCACTTATATGACCTTATTGTGTTGCGAGTGCCGTAAAACACTTACTAAAACATAGAGATGTAGGCCTGCCGGTTTGTTTGCCATGCTGCGTCTTTGACTAAATGGTCCTACTTTATTAATAACCGTTTAACTTCCAACTTTCCAGGTTCTTCCTAAGCGTGGATGTGGGTAGCAGCAGTGGAATGGTTGTGTCTTCATGTAGCCGCTCATCGTGAAACAGCAACTGCTGCTGCTCCCTAATGAGAACATCTCACATAGTACACATGTATTGCAAAAGGCCACGTTGATTCTATAAGTCAGTAAAACACATGCATGTTCAATGAAAGGACAACTGAAAAAAAAAAAATACAAGACCCGTCCGAACCATTGCGAAAATAGGGGCGTTTTGCTGCCAAACCAATGAAAATCAAAATTAATAAAAATGTTCTGACAAGGCTACTTGAAGATAGCATACTATTTCTCATTCTAGGAGGAGGTACAGATAAAGAAGAGTTTGAAGTCCACTAAACACTTATTAACATAAATTTTAAATGACTTCCATTTGAAATAATTCTGTCAGCAAAGTTTTACACCTTGTACTACACACTCTAGGTGATTAGGTCACTTGGAATAGGAATGACCTCTCCCTCTGACAGGTTCTGTAAAAAAAAAACTCAGAAGATAATATTTCCTTACTGACTTCACATTATAATTACTACATGTACTGAACATTGCACAGTTTTTCAGGAAATTATTATTGCTATTATTGTCATCATAGGTCTTTAGTTACGGAAACATCTTCAGCCATCCACGTTTTGATGTTGTTTTAGCAATTTATGATAATGACGGGGTCGATAAAGATGCTCTGAAGGAAAAGTTACTTCATATATATATATATATATATGTTACCGAAAATATAGAAGTGGTGAAATCGGTACAATGCAGTCTAGCATGCGCACTGTGAAACACGCGCATACCGAACAAATTTCCAGGCTCCGAATTTTTTTTCTTTTTATGTGTATACTTTCTTTTTGTGCTGAAAACATGAACATAACGAAACGATGTTTTCATATCCCTTTGATTTCACAATGTGCGTGCTAGACAGTATAGTAAAAAATTTTTTTTTTAATAGAATACTATTTTATCGATCCTAGAAGGGCAATCTGGTTTACAATGGAAAACAAAAACACTCATTTTATACATAATTATACATACATGCATACATACATACATACATACATACATACATACATACATACATACATACATACATACATAGGCTACATACATAAATAACATACACATACATAAATACACAATATTACACCTGTACAGAACAATGTGGATGCGTTTTACCAAAGGATACGCCAGATTTTAGGGTGTGCGTAAATTTTAATCAAAATGTAATTAAGGTTGTTTCACAGGAAAGAAAAGAAGTAGAACCTACCTGTTGGACTGCTAATGCTAAAAAAAACTAGTCCTAACTTGTAAACGGTTGGGCAACATACATATAAAATTATATGATTTCTACTCTTATCTGTATTTTTTAATTAGTTTATTTTATTTATTCATTTATTTACACGCTTTGTATAAAGCCAACATTCTAATCTTGCACTGAACTTTATCAGATTTGTATACCTTGAACTTGAACAAACCAAATAAAAATCTTTTTTTTCCTCTCCGTACTTCAAGTTGTGTGTTAATTTTCCTCTTGCTTCCTGCGTTGAGTTAATGTTAAGCTGTCCTCGGGGTTTTATGCACCCCGCATAATTTAGCAAGATGTAATAATTTTATGCCTAACTTCTGATTATTTTCCTTTATCATTTTTTGTTACAATTAACAGAATCGCATAATTTCACTTTTTTGGGCACAGTTTGCATAATTTCAGAATTAAAAAAAAAAATTTTTTGCCTGAAACCGCGGGGACAGGTTAAGAGAAGCACATCGACACAATAACGGTCATATAATGCAGGGCAGAAACAAGACGGATAGAAGACAGAAACAACACAGGGGAAAGTGGTGAAATGGTATAGGTTTAACGCCCCTGTCAACACTTTAAGGTTATAAATATAATATTGAAGTAAGAGGTGGGACCTCCGTATTTAATGAACGTCCATCTCTGAAAGGACCGAGCCCAGTGGGATATTCCTGTCAAGCGCTTTTCCCAAGGACGCAAGGTCGGACCGAGCTGAGGCTCGAACCCCCGAACCTGCAATCTCACACACATTACGAGTCCGGTAGTGTAACCACTAGGCTACCGACGCCACCACAGAGAGAAAGAAAAGAAGTAGAACATACTGCAACTTGTACTAACAAAGAGCGCCTGGAGGGATCGAGTTATGCTACCGGTAGTAGTAAATACTTAAATAGTCGTATACACCCATTCAAAGAGATCGCTTTTCTAATTATGACTCTAAAATATCGTGTGGGGCTTCGGGGTGGGACGCTCTTTTCAGGAAATGGTATAGTAATATAGTCAGAACAAAGTTACTTGAACGTGCAAAACTGGTTTGTGAACCAAATAATATTGGTGTTACATGTATAACTATATAAATACAAAAATAGATAGAAAATGTCTTAATCCCAGACTGTGACGACCGACATAGTAACTTATTAAAGTCGTTTGGATGACACGTAAAACATTTTCAGCTCCTCGGACCACGATTAGGCTTTGCTACAGTCTGGTCAGTACAAATCTACTTGTGAAAGGGCAAAAAAATCAGGTTGTAAACCGTTTTAGTAAGTGTTTTAGGGCACTTGCAACACAATAAGGTCATATAAGTGCCGAAGATTAGAGGTGTTACAAGAGAGTAACAAACACAAAAAAGAAGGAGGGGAGATAAAGACGATAGATGTTTGATAGGAAAGAAGAAGCAAACCACACCAGAGCACCCGCCAACCACCCGCTAAATTTACATGTAATATGTTGGTTACACCTAAAAATAGATAGATGCTGTCTAAATATGAGAGCATTACGAGTGACACAACAACTTACTAAAGTCATTTGGATTACACAGAAAAAGACCTTTGGGGGCTCTCGTAGTCTGCAGGTTACGGTGTTCGCCTCTTATTCAATTATTGAATCAATAGGTCCCGAGTTCGTATCCTGAGAGCGACGGAAAATTTTCTTCTCGAAAATTGTCTCTTTTCTCCTCCTTTCCTGCTCTCTAACCATGTTCTGTTGCCTGCTGTCGTCTCCACGTTCTGCCTTCCCCATTTTCTGGGTTCCTGACTCTTTCTAGCTGCTGCCTTTCTACTTGGCCCCTTCTAACAGCTGTCTTTCAGCCACACCCTTGATCTTATGGCAGATAAGATCCAACATCTAGCCATCTGGGATACGGGCGAAAAATCTTGGAGGTCGCGAGCGCAAGTTGCGCACATCAAAGACCCATTGGAGGTTCTAAAATCGATAAGATTAGGCTTCGGCCGCCACGCGTGTAAAATTCCAAAACCCTACCAAAGTAAAAAGGTTTATTGCGTCCCGTGCGCCCATACGACCTTATGAAGTTGAGAGCGCCGTAAAACACTCGCCAAAACAAACAAAAAAAAAGGCTTTTTTTAGCTTCTCAGATTATAGAAGTAGGCCTGACACAGTATAGTAAGTTGGACGAATCTACTTGAACTTGTGAAAGTGCAAAACCAGGTTGTAAATCAAAGTGATATGTTAGTTGTTACAACTTGTCACACACTAAAATAAATAAATAAATCATTTTTTAATAAATATAATGTCTACATCTTAAAGTGTAACGACCAATACAACAATAAAATGTACTGATATCATTTGGAAGACACAGGAATAAGACTTTTTCAGCTTCTCGGATCACAACTAGGCTTGTCTAGAGTAGAGTACTTACTTTACTTTTTTCTTCCGCTTGTACCCTGGGGTGTCGCGGGGAGACACAGGTGTCTGTCTGCAGCAAGTCGTGTGGCCTGTAGGAGGGACATCCCATGATCTTTAAGGGTGTCTGCCACAGATTCACTCCATCGTCGCCTTGGTCTTCCTCTGGCTCTCCATCCAGAATATTTAATGTTGTATGCTCTCAGAGCTGGATGGTTTGAGGGCATCCGCGTGAGGTGTCCGAACCACTTGACCTTTTGTTTTTCAATGTGTGGTAGGACTGGTGTTGCTCCCACGGTGTCCCTTATGACTTCATTTTTAATTTTGTCTCTTCTTGTTTTGTTGACTGCTCTTCTTAAGCATTTCATCTCGCATGTGACCAGTTTCTTCTCTAGGGCTTTTGTTAGAGTCCATGTCTGGCACTGATATGTGAGCGTTGGAAGGAAAATGGCGTTGATGAGCTTCGCCTTGGTGCTCATGGGGATATTGGGATGTTTCACTAGAGTAGAGTACATGTAATTAAAAAGTTACTTGTAAAAATATACAACCAGGTTTTAAAACAAATAGTCTGTTGGTTGTTCCAGCTAATTATACACAAAACATAGATCGATATATTGATCATGTCTAAATCTGAGTGTAACGACCGAAACGGCAACTTACTAAAGTCATTTGCCTATTATTGGATGATACAGAAATTATTATGACTTTTCAGCTTCTCATATAACAACTAGACGACGCTAGAATTAATCAATACAAAGTTACTTGTAAAAGTGCAAAACCAGGTTGTAAATCAAATAATATGTGGGTTGTTACAACTAGTCACACACAACATTGAATAGATAATGCCAAAATCTCAGAGTGTAACGACCGACACAACAACTTACTAAAGTCCTTTGGATGACAGAGAAATAAGACTTTTTCAACTTCTCAGATCACATCTAGAGGCTTGCCAAGAGTTTAACCAATAGAAAGTTACTTGTAAAGATGCACGACCAGGTTGTAAAACAAATGATAAGTTGGTTGTTACAACTAATAATAATACCCAAAAAAATAACAACAACTTACTACAGTCAATGGATGACACAGAAATAAGACCTTCTCAGATATCATCTAGTCTTGGCTTGAAAAAATTGCAAAATCAGATTGGAAAACAAATAATATGTTAGTTGTCACAACTAGGCATACACACAAAAAAATAGATAAAGTCTTAATCTGAGAGTTTAACGACCGACATAACAACTTATTAAAGTCATTTCAATGACACAGAAAAAATACTTTTTCAGCTTCTCAGATCACAATTAGGCTTGGCTAAAGTATGGTCAGTACAAAGTTACTAAAATTGTTTAAGTGCAAAACCAGGTTTTGTAACAAATAATAAGCTGGTTGTTACATATAATCGAACTAGAGAGAGAGAGTGAGAGAGAGAGAGACAGAGAGACAGAGAGACAGAGAGACAGAGAGAGACAGAGAGAAAGAGACAGAGAGAGAAAGGAAGAGACAGAAAGGGAGAGAGAGAGAGGGGGGGGGGAATCACAGCCGGATACGACTCTACGCTCCAGAAGTCAAGGACACTACAACAACCTGCAGGGTGTAGGACTTCAACAACGACCTTTATCGTAAATCTTTCTTCTAATATAATGATCCTTTGCTGACTAGCGTATGTGGCGTAGCGGTCAGGCATTTCAACGTCGCACACAGAAGACCCTTGTTCGATTCTCCCGAGGGTGGAATTTTTATGGAGAGTCGTGGAATGTGGTAAAGAGTCATCAGTAATGACGTACCGGTGCAGTAAAGTGAACTGACATGGACATGATGGGCCAATAGCAAGAACTGTCCCCGCGGTTTTATGCCCAAAAAAATATGAAATTACGCGAACTGAGCCCAAAAATGTGAAATTATGCGATTCTGTTCATTTTAACAAAGAATGATAAAGGAAAATAATCCGAAATTATGCACACTCAAAAAATGAACAAATTTTGCTAAATTATGCGGTGTGCATAAAACCCCAGGGACAGCAAGAAGCTAGCCCAGGATAGGAAAAAGTGAAGATAAGTGCCTATACCCTGATCAAGATAGAGAAAAGTGGTGATGGTGGTGATGATGATGATGAAGATATTATTTGATGTTATTTTTATTTTTTTATGTTCCTGACGAAACCAAAAGACGGCGAAACTTTGAACATATCATAATTTTTGGGGGGAACATTTTAGAACTCTCCACATATTTTATCTTTTTGCAATCTACAATGATTGATAATGATGACGATGATGGTTGTGGTGGTGATGTTGCTGCTGCTGCTGCTGCTGTTGATGATGATGATGATGATGATGATGGTGATGATGATGATGATCTCGGTCTTTCTGGTGGCACATTGTATCTCATTCAGACATGGTTAGCCCTGGCAGACAAGGTCAAAAACTTGGCTCCTAAATTAAATGATGATATACGCGCGCACCCATATACACACACACTCACACCTATACAAACACACACTTACGCACACACACACACACACACACACACACACACACACACACACACACACACACACACACAAATTCACGTTTTTTTTTAAATCCAAAGGAAGACAAAAA